TCACGACATTCTCTAACTGGTATATCTGAGGTTATGCGGAATTTCAAGGACATGTCTGGCCTAGACATGAACCCGGCTAAATCAGAGCTCTTCTTTGGCGGATATTTGGCTATTCAAACAGAGGTATTGAGTGGCTTATCGGACATCAGAATTGGAGCTTTCCCAACAAGATATCTCGGCCTCCCTTTGAATCCCTCCAAAATTACATTTGCAACTCTACAACCATTCCTGGAGAAAATCACCAATAAACTGCATTCATGGACTGTCAAATCACTCTCCTTTGCCGGGAAAGTGACGTTGATATCATCGGTGATCTATGGAATGGTAAACTTTTGGAGCGCGGTGTTTGTATTACCAAAGAGATTCTATGAAAAGGTTGATTCTCTATGTTCAGCTTTTTTGTGGAAAAACAATACCACCTCGGCAGTAGGAGCAAGAGTTGCTTGGGATGATATATGCAAACCTAAGGCGGAAGGAGGGCTTGGGATAAGGCTTCTAGCAGAATTTGAAGTTGTATTTCGAGTAAAACAAGTATGGAACTTCTTCGCTAATGCAGGATCATTGTGGGTGGCTTGGCTACAAGGAAATATTTTCCATCGGAAAAGCTATTGGATTACCGAGGACTCGAACCGATTCTCCAAAACGGTTAGGAGCATGCTGCAGCTGAAACCGACAATAGTTACGTTTCTCATATGTAATCTTATGAATGGAGCAGGCTTCTTTTTGGTTTGATGCTTGGACAGAATTGGGACCTTTAATAACTTATATAGGAGAAGAAGGTCCAAGGAAACTTCAAGTGAGAAAGGATGCGCGGGTTATTGAATCAACCAGAAATGGGCAATGGAGAATGCCTGGTGCAAGATCTGAGGAAATACAGAATTTCCTAATGACACTAACGACTATAGCGCCACCTGAGGTGTCTCGAGGTCGTGATATTTATCTATGGCGCAACGCGACAGGTACATTCACTCAGACTTTTTCTTCCAAAGCAACGTGGGAGCAATTACGGGTTCATTCGGTCCCTGTTACATGGTGTAAAACGGTTTGGTTCAAACAATCAGTCCCGAAGTGTGCTTTTGTAACTTGGATGGCAGTGCAGCAACGTCTACCAACAAGAGACAGGCTAAGGCTTTGGGGAATGAATGTTTCATCGGCATGTGTTCTTTGTTCAAATGGAATTGAAAGCCATGATCACCTATTCTTTGGATGCTCTTATTCTTTGGAGATTTGGCAGGATCTAGCTTCTAGGATATGGCAAAATCCTCCTCTAGACCTTATGGCGGCATCAACGTGGATCCTACAGCCTCGTCAACCAACCCGGTCCGCAGCAACAATAATCATCAAACTCATCCTGCAATCAACAATCTATCTGATTTGGAAGGAGCGCAACTCTCGAATCTTCACAACTACAAGCACACCTTCGACTTCGGTTAAGGCGAGCATCGACCGTATGATTTGTCATGGTCCAATCCCATAAAATTCCCCAAAACCTAAAAAGTCCGTTACGTGTGGCCCAAGTGCTAAGTGAAACCCTAACCTAGAGTCCCCTTTATCTCTATAATAAGCCACGCAAGTGAGAGGAGGATCAGAGTTGCGCAGCTAGAAAAAAACCCTATTGTTCTCCCACTTGCCTTCTCAGTTAAGCTAGTTCCGAGTAGCTGTTTNTCGGGGCTGATTGCCGGCGGCTCAGAAGGAATTAGATCGTGATTCTTTTATCTCTGGAAAGATCACGGATTCTAGTTTCTACAGCTTCTTTTCGATTCCAATTACGAGGTACGGTCTGCTCGCAATTCGTGTTTGAATATCGGAAAAAATCTCAGTTATCTAAATCTGAATTTTTGGTCTCAGATTCGACCAGTGAACTTTCGGGGCGATTTTCCGGCGCTCCGTGAGGAGTTAGGCGACGATATATATACCGTTGGAAAGAGGATTCTTCGTAGATTCTGGGGCTCTTTTCCGATTTGGATTCCGATGTAAGATGAATCCGGAATTTACGTTTTAAGTTCGCCCTAGTTATCTGACCAAAATCTGTTCTCGGATTTCACAGTGCTAACTTTGGAGGAAGGTGCACGCTGCTACAGAACGAGTTAGATTACGATTTTGGTACTGTTGGAAAGCTGACGTTACAAGGATTTCAGATCAACTTTTGGCTTTCCAATCCGATATAAATTCGGTGAGTTACTGACGTTTCTTTCTGGTCAAGAAACACTGATTCTGTCAAAAACCAGAAACGCTATTTTTGACTTGAATCGCTATTTTCCAGAATCCAACCGCCCAGAACGCACATTCACATCCTTCTAGGATCACTCCTTTGTTTTTGATCATCCAAAAGGCTAAGGTGAGGGTGTTGGCTAGATAACTCTAATACTAGTTAACGGTAGTTGTTCTTATACGTTAGGCTAGGAATGTAATGTGACGTTGTGGTTATATATGCTAAGTTTAGGAATGTTTGATGCTTGCTGAATGATAGTAGTGATTCTTGATGTTGCAAACGGTTTGGATAAGAGAGAATGTTAGGATTAAAATTATTCCTTGAGATTGTAGAATAGATTATAGTTCTGGGAACGATCGCGTACGTAAGCCCGTTACAGAACTTTGCGTGTTGGACTACGAACGATCGCGTATGTAAGCCCGTTGTAGTCCATTAAGGCCATAAAAGGCCGACGGGGAGGACAGACCCAAAACGATAGAAAGGGGTTGGCTCCGCCGTCGAATGTAATATATTAAGTAAAGGAAGGAAAAGTAATGTATGTGAAAAGGAAAGAAAGTAAAGAATGTAATAAGTAAAGAATGTGAAAGGTGAAATGTTTAAGTATGATAATGTATGAGTGAAAGAGATTATGGTCTAGAAATGNTAGGTATGAAGATTATGTTACTAGTAATAGGTTGAATGAAACATGTTCTATTTCTGGTTTAATGTGTTTGAATGCTTATTGTCATCAAGTATTAGAGTGGTCGTGGGTAACAATCTCACTGAGTAATTTCTTTCCGGAATTACTCACNCCTCTTTTTNNCCCTTTCAGGTAATGATGAGTAGCGGCTCAAGGTGGTTGTTGTCCGGGTGCTGGTTTTAGCGGGATTTATGTTTGGATTTTTAAAACAATTTACTTAATATTTTTTTTCTACATTGGTTTTTCACGAGAAGGATTTATTAAGTTGGAATTATGGTTTTGTGGAATGATTTAAGACTTGAGTTAGGAAATAAATTATTGATTTTCATAAAAGTATCCGTTAGAATTGATAGGTTGTTTTCATGACTTGCCATCTCGGCTAAGTAAGCGAGTCGGGTGTTACATGATTCACGACAGGCTCCTCTCATATCCTCCTCCAGACTCAACATCTTCCTCCCTTCTTCAATCTTATTTTGGATATATTAACTTATAAAACTAGTATCATTATCGGTATCCTCTCCACTCGGGTTCCTTCGGGTTCTCTATTTTGTATTAGGCGATTAGAAATAAGTTGTACTTGTGCAACATGTAAAACTCAGAAAATGGTATAAATCTTAACATTTACACCAAAAAAAAAGTATATACAATTCATGATTGCATGCGTAATCTAAGCATTTTAAGGATTTAGATGAATGTTTTTTAGTATCTATAAAAAGACACGCACGTAACATCTCGACTAATACCCGCACGTGCACGTATATATTTACTTATTATATAAAGAGCTCATTTTTTTTTTTTTGGTCACATATAGAGCTTCATTTATATTTTATAAACGTATTAAGCTTCAGCAATAAACAAATACGACCTCCAGTACCGACTGCGCTCATGGACTACCCTTTTTTCTTTCAAACTACAGATTTAAAACTTTGGCTCATACAATTATTTCGACCATAAAAGGTATCAACTTTTTTGGTGAATGTTTATTTTTTTTCTTTTCTAAACTTGAATCGTATTCGAATGTGAATATTATTCAGTTAGGAGATGTCACTATTTCTCTGTTAGTTGAACATGGTTTCCAGTTAGGAGATGTCACTATTTCTCTGTTAGTTGAACAAACATAACTTTTGTTGCATCTATGTATGCTCTCGAAATTTGAATTTATATTCGCTTACTTTATATAAAACCAATAATTTTTCCAGCGGTTAATAGGGAGTTTTACCAAAAATGTCATTTGTTTGAAAAAATATTTGAAATACGCCATTTATTCAAAAGCTTTTGAAAAAATGATTTATATCGTTAATTATGATTTTATAGGATACATTTTCATCCATATCGTTTTTGTTCACAGCCACCATCTCCGTCATCGTCAATCACTATCTTCATTTTAGTCCACCACCGTATCCGTCTCTATTTTGTCCACAACCGCCTTTTCCGTCACCGGTTTGTTCACATCAATTTTGTCCTCACAACCATCTCTTTTTTTTATCCATCGCTGTTTCCACTTCCGTTTCTTTTTTTGTCCACAACTGCTGACACCGTCTTTGTCACAATCACGATCTTTTATCATCACCATCTCCGTTTTTCTCCACCACATTTTTCTTCATCAAA